TCCGAGTCCAAGCTACAGTCAGCGTTTCGGAACGGTTGCAGAAAGTAGATTATTTTGCACTCAGCTCTCCCAATGTTATTTTCACTCCCATAATCGAATTAGAATATTCAACCTCGTCGAAAAAAAAAAAACCAGGATTGTCAAACGCATCTTATTCATCACAAAGCTGAGTGAGCATGGCTTTTTTTCAACAATAGTGTTTGATTCAAAAACCCAGTTCACACCTAGTGGCAGCGTACCTTCGGATACGTACCCGAAAAAGTCTCGATGCGCGCCTTCGAATATCCGGTTGTTTTACACATATTACGAATACAGATTTTACTTTTAAAATGTCTTTCCTAGCGACAAAAACTTGTTTTTTAAATAAAAAACACGTCGTAAATGTGGGTTTTTTAAATTGTCAGTTACTTTAGCCTTGGCGCCGGTTCGAGCAAAAAGTCTCGCTTGGTACTATGTTTTATGTCATGACAGGGGACCAAAAAATAGAAAAAAGTTAACAATTTGCCTTACAAAAAGCTGTTTCTGTAAAGAAAGAGTGTATCGAAGAAACTCACATCTTATGCATTTGACCGCAGTTATAAGCCCAAGATGTAACATGTAATGACTTGTTTCAACACATCAATATAGACGTTGCATACGGTAAAAAAATTAACCCGATAGTTTAATGATATTTTACACATAAATTTGGCAATATATAATTCCCATTAAAAAATTTTGCTTATCGCAATTTTTGCAAAAATGTGTACATTTGTCATACACTGGTAACCGCATAGTACCATTTTTCTAAATGTTTCTATTGCATATGACTGCATTATATGTAGACTATTGATATTAAAATTTTATTACTATTGTAAAAAATATTCTGATTAAATATCGATATGGCTTATCAGCAGTAAATACCCGCTATCTCGGTATCAATTTATGACTTTTAACCAGTAAAAAAATTTTTACTTGCGTACATTCTGGAACAATCGCGATATTACGTACTTTAAGCAATTTAACAATACCCCATTAAAGATTTGTTATTGGTTGACAATCACAGACTCTCACACTCCTTATTGCATACGTAACAACATTTATACTTATATGGTTACGTGCAAAGCAATGAGTAATACAGATATGTCATATTTCGTCATCTACCACGTGAATACGCGTCCACTCATGCGTGTATATATACCCTGATGCTTCTCTCCATTGCACACGTATCGCTTCACAACACACTTCTCCTCCTCCAAGCGCAAATACATTTGTTAGATAATATACAACAAGCAATCCCCGACACCGCTCCACATACGACATGAACTAGTCATCAAATAAGGAACCATCCTTTGTCATCGCGCACATACGGCACGAAAACAAACTCTTGACATTCAAAACAACTCGGTTTAACGAATTAACAACTACTTTCTACAAAAAAAGTTCTACTTACGCATTGCGCAAGTATCGATTTACCATAAACACTAAAGCCAAATTGCAACAAACAATCCATTGTTACCACTCAACCTTACGCGCATACGGCAGTTTGGTCAACTCATTAACAAATTCTCTAACGACGATCGGTTATCGACTGATGAAAGAGCTAAGCACACATTACAATATACACCTGACATTTCTCTTTCTTGCGCACGCGTCCGTCGTTTTATGACAACGTTCCTCTGCTGCGCTGCACCGCCACACCATATCACATGCTACGACTGTTCAATACAAACTTACGAATGACCTAACAAACGACGCGGTTTATCGATCACTACTGATGGAAGAGCTCAAGCTTATGCATTGTTTTACGATAACATCTCCTCACCGCGCAAACGTTCCTTTGCCGCACTCTATATTACGCACATACGGCAGTTCAATACAACTCACGAACAAGTCGTCAACAACGACACGGTTATAGACCTCTGACTGATAAAAAATTCAAAAACGCGCATCATAATATACGCACGGACGATATCGCCTTACATATTCTCTCTCCAAGCGTAAATACGAAGCTACTCTCACCATATTACGACGTATTACGCGCGCAACGACAAGGCATGTCTATTAATACGTATATCAGACCTCTCTCTATTACGCATACATCACTTCACAACGACTCCTTCAAAACGTAAATACAATTCTTTACGTCACTCCATACTAGCGGGACGGGTTGCGACAATTCACGAACGAACGATTCTTCTAACAACGACGACGATGCGCATGGTGATCGACCACGGAAACGATCAAGTAATTGTTGGGTAGATAATAATTGTATTAACATACTATTGTTTTCTACTCGGTTTACTAGGCGGCTGCTCTCTTTCGTCTCTGACCGGTGGACGGGTGCGGATCTGGATCGAGTAGCGGGCAGTTACCGGTGACGCCCCTCTGCTCACCCCTTCACCAGTGCTCGCCTGCGGTGAAGTGATCCTGGCTGGGTCTGTTGAGTGTGTCACGGGGGATGCCCGGAACACTCTCAGACATCTCTTTTTTTTTCTTTCTTTTTTTTTTACACAGCTTTTAGATGACGGGGAGAAGGTTTTCGGTAAGTATTGGTGAGTATCGCATTGCTTTTACGTTATAAACTAACTCTACTTTTTCTCCTATTTCTTCTTTCCCCTTTTTTCCACTGGTGGGTATGCCGGGTGATCGGATCCAATGGGACTCTGGTGGAGCTGTGGATCGGGTTTGAGGGACTGATTCGGTGATTACTTAGTTTCTTGTGAAGGATCTGTCCCTAAAGCTAGTTAGAGATGAGTGGTGAGTTTGCTGCTTGGCATGCCGACTGAAAGCAATAGTCTTATTATTATCTACCTATTACCTCATTTAAATAGCATAGTATTAACTAGTACAGCACTTTTGTAATAATTTATTAATGTTAATCGAAAAAGAAAAGCTGAAAAAATTATTAATGTAGTATAATACAATATGCTTCGCAATATATTAAAGGTCAAATAAATTAACTTAAAACTTACACTTAACATTTAACTGTCTTTTTCTTTGTTGACTTATCTAAATTGACGTGCAAGATATCTATCACCAAAGAACATACTCTTCGACTGTAATTAACAATTTATTAGTTGTTTTTTTAGTAACAGTTCTACTCTTGTGTGCGTGTCAATTATTTTCCAGCATTATTCTCATAAAAAACAAACAAACTTACGTATAGATCTGTAGCGAGTAAATACTTTTGGCTAATTCAGAGTAGCTTTATATATTACTTATTATTATGGTTAAGTATTTATAGAACGTATTGTATTACATCTGTTAGCGCCTCAAAGATTTTATTCATATGTTACCTGCTTGGTTTGCAATACTCAAACGTAGGGCAATGACATTCATAAATTCAATGGTGTGATTGAATTTTGGAGTTATAGATCGCTACACCGACATTGCTACTTCGATGAAGACTGCTAACGATATGCGGGAGTTTACAAATAGTGAGAAAAAGCTGAAAGCGAGAAGTTACGGAATGCTATTATGCAGAAAGCAGTAAACATAAAAGGCAGTAGCTCAGATGTTACAAATAATTGAGACCGAAAGCAACAATATCCGCACCCCAAAGCAATCAATGATTCACAGTCAGTCAATGAGAATGTGCTGTCACTTATGTTGGCGCTCATTGATTACTGTAAAAATAAATTATGGTATAAATGCAAAATTCTCAAGACATTACTATGCCAAATGTTATTTTTATGTGATTATCTAGCTTCTAAATTAGGCAGGTACTTGCATCACCCGGTCGGGTAAAGACTTGTTGCGAGTCAGGAAACGAACCGCGTTGAATATATTATCTGACAAGAAGGAAAATTGATATTACGTTTTTATATTCTAATCCTTATCCAAATTCCATTTCATCACGATACTCATTGGAAAGATCAAAGTTGTTTCCGGCAAGTGAGTATGATAAGGATTGTTTTGTAAAATAGGAAGAACGGTTGACTTTATTTCGATTCCGAGATTCGAAACGGCTCGTTGGTATGCTAAATGAGCACGTATCAAAGTTGACCACCGGTATGAATATGAAGTGTTGCATAAATGGCGACAAACAAAATGAGTCCGGACTCGGTAATCGGTTCACTAATAAGCGTAATTGCATTAAAAATGACAGATTATGTCACCTAGATATGCTTGTGCGAGGTCGACTTCGCTAATAGGCGTAAAGCAATTGGTTGGATCGGTAGACTTGATGAGTTAAGTTAGCTAATACATTCTTCCAAGAATCGTTGATCAATACTTCATTCCATCACAGCACTTCTCATGTAAAACCATCTGGCTGGCCTGCCAAATGCTTGTTGCTAGACACTCTCTGATCAGTACAACGGCAAGCGAATGCTTTTAGTCTTTTCCTGCTCGACTACTCTTGTATTACTCGAGATTGAATAATCTAAGAAATTTGTTTTTCGTAATATGTATACCGCTTGTGTTCTTTGAGACACGGCTAGAGCCATGCATTGTACAAAGGGTATCACGTTCTAAATGACGCCACGGATTTTTGTTGGAGGAATAACTTGTTGAGACAAAAACGTGTCCTGAGACACACGTTGACATGAGAGCGTTGTTTGAATAACAGCTTACTGGTAGCATCGACATAACTGTCGAACGTATCCAAAACGGCGGTGTTTTCTTCTGGAAATTACTGCTGGTTATGTAGTTGACATGCATCAATTCTCTCATTGTTGCCACATTTCTTCCTTGCTTGAGCTGCGACGACTTTCTAAAGCAGAAGCTGAGGCCGTAGCGTAGACGTTCTGGAAATTTTTGTCGCTTTTATTACTAGATGACTCCCTATGTTTTGGTTGTTAGAGCCGGCACGAGCGACCGTAATCAGGCCTAATGGGTATCCAATACCATTGTCATTGCATTGAATCGATAGTTTACGTGTCTGCTGTGTCTGACCAGCGTGTATGATTATGCTATAACCATCGCTTAATAACTAGATATCTGTTGCATCGTTGAGCGTGGTTGGAAGTGGATCCGTAAGGAAGACGACTTGCTGCCCAAACATTAGACAGGGTCAGAACATGCCGCAACCATACGAAACGAAGCCATTGCCAACACTATTCCTGATCGTAATCTTCGCTCTTGAGTTAGGTGTTGCCTTCCTTCAAGCTGCTTTTATCGTGCTTGAGCATATCCTGCCCGGGTTCGACAAGAAGAATACCCCCCGCAAAGAGTTGCTTCTTTCACGCCTTTGTTCCAATGATGAATTGAAAAATCATTATGTTCCAAAGCGATGTGAAGTAAAGCCTCTCACGATATGATAGCAACCCGTGATTTCTGTATTACATCCTACGTCAATTAAGATTCGAGCATGGGTTGGATGATAAGCGGCTATTATTGATGACGTATATGCAACAGATTTTACAGCGCAGAAAGTGTCAAATCATGCATAAAGGATGGAAACGTCGGGGTTGCACGGTTGTAAGAATTTCAAAGTTTCAACATTTGATCCAGTTAAAGTATCCGGGTACAACATGATTGAGTATAACAAATGCCGGCTAAACTTTTTAATGGTTTTCTTTTCTCACATGAAAACCGAGCTTGCTTCTCCAATAGAACCATGTTATTAAACCACGCTCACACTCTTGGCAAGATTAACTTTTTCTTGGCAAAAGATTGATAATCGGGATATTATCCGACAGGTAACACACATCTGAGTTACACATATTGGGGGTCTTACGTGAGTAGTTTGACAAACATAGGGCAAGCCCCTTATAAAATTTACGTAAGGAGCTTTTTTTCTGCCGATTGTTTGCCGATCATTTTACAATAGTATTAAACGTATAATCTTCAAAATCGATAGGCTTTTGAAGGAAGCAAGCTACCGGCCTGAGACTATGACAATACAGTATATGCCGTAACGCGTACTCTTTAAACTGACGCACGCATTTTTTCGATACTTTTATAAAAAAGGTATGAAAAATTGCAAATAAATAAATTTTAACAATAAAAACTTGCATTTGTGTCAAGTGAATCGAAAAATCGACTGTTCATGTTTGTTTGCTCACTGATCGCGTGTACGTTATAGAGCACTAGTTGGTGTGCGTACATTTATTGCAAGATCT